AACCTGGGCAGCTGGTGAGACATGAATTCCAAGAATTTAACAAGATCCAGAAGCTTTATTGATTTTTGGCTAATGTATGCAGCAAAGTAGAAAATAAAAAAATACATCACTTGGCTGCCTTCATCAGGATACAGCAGTGAATAAATCCATGTTTAGAGAGGGAGAGAAGGAGGAAGCATTTATATGTACCACTAGTCAGTGCTGCTGAATCCAAATGTATTCGCTCTGCAGGCTCAGTTTCAGAGGCTCAGAGGAAAGGCTGCAGCCATGCTAGCTGCTCTGTGAGGTTATAGTTAGAAAGCTAGATGTTAACATTACCATGCTAACATGCTCAAAATGACAACAACAATGACAATGGTAACATACTGATGTGTGACGGTTATAATGTTTACCATGTCCATTGTCTTAGTTTAGCATTTTAGCATTCTTATATTTACAGTACTAAACACAAAATAAAGCTGAGGCTAAAGGAAATGTCATTATTATCGCAGGTATATTTGGTACATATGAACAACCTTATGATGGTGCTAGATGAAAAGTCATTGAAATATGAATGTTTGTACCAAACTAGTTGCCTAGATATTTCACTAAAACAACGAAATGTCAACCTCATGGTGGTTGATTGATTTACATTTTTTATCGATCAAAAATTGTCCCTCTAGTCAGAGACATCCCAGATATACAAATCATCAAAAGGATAAAAACACAAAAAAAAGCCCAAAGGCTTATTTCCATTGTGGTTCATTTTTGGGGAGGTAGGGGACAGTAGCATCATGGAAAACAAACATACATAATTTAATTTGAAAAGAAACAACAATTATAATACAATGTACAACAATACTAATCCATAAACATTCGAATGTACAGTTCAGATAAAGTCCTCAAAAAATACCTGGAACAACATAAACATAATATAACAAATTGTATTAAATCAAATGAATCCTTACAATCACAGATTCATTTAATTAATGGTGCTAGAGGAAACGTCAGGGGATCACCAAAGTCAGTAGAGCCTATCCTCTGGGGGCCATGAATGTTTGTACATCATTTCATGACAATCCATCCATTTGTGGCTGAGATTTTTAAATCTGGACCAGAGTGGTGGACTAACCCATTAACTTTGCCATCCATAGAGCCAGGCTGCTAGCATTACTAAGATTTTGACGTTCTAATTGACTTCATAAATACTGTTTGCTTCAAAGGTTTTTAAAAGCTGTACACAGCAACACAACCCACATAGGATAGGGTTCTAGGTCAAATTTGGTTGATTTAAGGATGCAAATGGGTCAGTTATGGCAATGGCAAGGGGGCTTTGGTCCAAAAATGGCTCATCTCTAACCAGCCACATGTGAGAAATGTGCAGCATTTGGATACTGGGCCAAGTACAACACACCACTTGTAATCTAGTTTAGAATTGGGTCTTCAAAAGGCTACATTGGTCATGGCTGGCCCAGTTCTGCACAATATCAAGGTTAAGTTGGTGTCCTTGCAGCCAGATTGCAATGGTTTCATCATTGTTATTGCATGGCAGAATAAGTCAAATGTAAGTATTAATGTGGGTCAGTACTGGGTTTCACTAATTTGCTTTCTGGGTGTCTGGTTGGTTCAACACAAACTCTGTGACTATGACAGATGTCAGCTGTCCTGTGTGAATGCCATCTTAATTCAGCAACAGCCGGCTTCACACTCAGTTACAAATCTTCGCGCTTGGCAGATACTTCCAACTAGTTTATGATTCGAACTGGCAATCTTCCAGTCACATGCCTAGTTATGCTGCCAAGGTGAAAAGAAAGACAGTCTCAGGTTCAACTTAGGGCAAGCATTTGCCTTGCTGAAGGGGACTCTACCAGCTACAGAGACGAGTGTGTCACAACAGATGTCTCTCTGAAGGAGTGCAAGTAAATGGCCCGTAATAGAAATTCAGAACTTTAAAGTCTAATTGTTTCAAGTGTGCAAATCAATATCACCATATTGTAATCTACAGATGTGAGTGGGAGTTTGGAAAAGTTTATAACTGCAATCCTTCTGTTATAAAAACCACAATTCTTCATCAAAATGCAATTTGAATACTTACTTAGGAAAGCATGTGGTGATGTGTTCACCTTTTAAGCTTTCTAAGTGCTTGGTTTCATAAACCAAACATACCTCATGCAGTTAACAGTGTTTGGAAACATTACTGTAATGCATTTTTCTCCCTGTCAGTCTCTGGCTTTCAGCCTGTTGATACTACCACAGAGGGGGTGGGGGCGGGGGCGTGGAGGGGTTGCAGTGTTTATTCAACTCCGTTAGCATGGCTTCCTGCTTGCCTCCTAATTACCCTGTACTCAGAATGCCTCAGACCGACGTGAGGAGTATCAGCGGGCTCAATTGGATGCAATGTCACGAAACACATCAGGGATGGATACTCCTGACTTGTCAAAGCCAGCAGATCAATCCAAACCCTTTCTGCCACTCTTCTTTACTCTCTTCTCCTTTCTGCACCATCAGTCTCTCTTTCTGTTTATGTTTATTTCACCTCTACTGTCGTCTTCTGTTTGTCCCCTTTCCTCTCTTTTGCTGATCTCTTTCATGTCTGAACTCTCTCCTCTCGCTTCGTCTCAGCTTTCTGTTTAGTCCTGCTCGTTGTTTCATCTGCTGTCCAAGGATATCATCAGGTTTGTAAAAGAAAATATATTAGACTTTTAAGATATTTTAATGCTGCCTGGATTTGGATTTAAGAAAAAAACTTTGAAGCCAATTAAAATAACAGCTGACAAAAAGAAATAATGATAGGAAACTAAAGGAAGATATTAATTCTTAATAAGAAAATAAAGTCTAATTTTGTTCACGCTAATACAGTTAATCCTGTCCTTCTTACCTCTGTTGCATAAGAATCTCAGAAGACTGTGTAGATTTTTGTAGACTCAAGAACTGGTCACAAGAGATACTCCATACGTATTTTTAAATGAAAAGAAATGGTTCGAACAACATGTTGTCCAATCACAACAGAAATCAAAAGTGTTTATAATTGTTCTGACCGGCATAGAGTGGTCTAAAATTCAATAATGTTTAAATAGGGAGATAATGGTGCACATTTTCTGACCGTCTCTCCTGGAAGACAATCATAGTTTTACTCAGTTGTTTAAATAAAAGTGATAAAAATAGTTGTGTCAAGAATGAATACGAGAGCTAGAGTTCAATCCCTGGCTCCCTTCTCACCTCCACACAGCTTGCCAATCACAGTGTGAAGTGGGTGTTAATGTCAGATTGTGGGGCAACATGTTCACACAGTGAAGTCACATTTCTGTTTCGTAACTGGCAACAAACCATTCCTAATAAATGTGGATGATGCAAGACAGCTAGTTATCTATTATAGCTTTCTCAATTTTCTGTGGGTTTCCTTAAACCACTGTGAAGACAGCTTGCTTTTGGTCAATGGTGCAAATTTGCAGGTTGAACTTGACGCAAAACATTGGTTCCTGTGATCATAACCATGATTTGTTAAAGAAAAATCACAATTTGAAATTAATACCTACGGTGGGTACATTAAAGTCATTTCAGTGTTTTTAAGGCCTCAGTAGAAAGCATTTAACACCGCTGAGGATAATGCTAACACTTTTAGGTCTGTTTTGTTGGTTTGTGGTATATTTACCTCATAATCATGAATAATTGTCCAGAATAGTATAGTATGGCGCTGCGTTGAACCATTGTAGTAGAGTTTGACTGCAGAAACTTTTCAGCCATTTAAAAAATGCACAGAAATATACATTTTGGTGTCACTCCCTTATAATCAAAGAGCAAAGACTACTTTCTGAACTCCCAACTTAGTTGAAAGAAATCCGCCAAAGAACACACAGAGAAACCAATTTCTCCACTGACAGTAGCCTCAGCAGGCAATGCAGAAAATGTGTTTTCAATAATTGCCTGACCTTTTCTTGATAAGTAAAATCTTTCATTTCCAATATGTCCATTACTGTCTCCGTACACATACAGACTGAAGGGCATTTAGGGGAAATTTACTAAATCACATCCTGCAGTACAGTTGTATAACACATGTTTAAAAAGAGTGGGTATAACAAAAAAATAAATTGCAACACTTGACATAAGTCAATAATCCAAGTAATGGAATTCAGTGACATTTACAGATTGATAGTTTGTCAGAGGTTGGGTTTTTTCTTTCAGAAAGGAAGGACATTTCCATGGAACATTGCCACTTTATAAAACAAGTCCAGTTTGATTTAACAAAGCTAATGTGATGGGACAAAAGCAATGTTTTGCAAAGAGTATCACTGTTGTAATGTGAAAGCCTCGTAACTGGTAACCGGTATGTTCAGTTGGGGGACTACTGTACCTGGAAAAAAAACTATGATGCTGAAGCTCCCTGAAAACCCATTGGTTGATATAAAATGTGTTATAATTGAGCCAAAGACAAGGCTGTTTTTCTTACTTTCTTCCCTGAAAAGTTTTACTTAGATTTTCACAAGTATGCAAGGGAGGAGCTTTGTCCTAGATTATTTTAAAAGCATACTCGCTGTCATTAAACCACGAGGAGACATATTAACTTAATTTAAATATTCTAATGCTCTATAATGCTTTAATTGTAGCTACTGTAAGACTTTTTAAGGATCTTGCTGTAATTTCTCTTTCTGTCTCTGTGATGTTGAGTGGCCTAGGGTCACACCAGAGGGCCCTCCTCCCCCTCTCAGAGTTTCATTACAGCCGCAGTAGGATGCCATGGTATATATGCACAACAAACTGATTGAACCTCCTCCTCCACGGCTCTCTCCCTGCCCTCCGCCCTCTTCTCCTCCTCTGCCTCACTTTTGATGTCTCTTTCCTTTCACTACCCTTTATTTTTTCATCTTTCTACCCTTTTTCTTTGTTCTGTACCCCCAACCCCTTCACCCCTTGTGTCCTGTCTCAATTCCTATCATCTCTTCACTTTCTCTGCACCTCTCTTTTCCCTGTCTGACTTTGACTGTTCATATCTCTCACTTGTCTTTCTCAATCTCTGCCCCCAGCCAAGCCTAAGAACTCAGCCAACGTTGTGACCGTCCAGGCTGGTTCCAAGTCGGTGGTGGTGGCCCAGTGCGAGGCGGCGGATGGCAAACCAGCAGCCACCATCAAATGGCTGGCGTCGGTTGGGGGCAACCATTCAACCACCACGACAAACGGGCCGGACGGCACTGTGACAGTGCGTAGCGACTATCGGCTGGTTCCTACGCCAGCAGATAACGGCAGGGAGGTGACCTGCATGGTGGACCAGAGGACACAGGATCAGCCGTGGGTTAACTCTGTCAAGCTCTCTGTGGAGTGTAAGGAAGACATGCATACACACTTTAATACTTATGTTCACTTATTAATATCCTCTTTAACATGAATGATAAATGATGTGTAACCCCGGGGATACTTTTACGATCATGTGTCATGGGTCCAACTAAGGATACAGACTTTGCTGCATCCAAAAGTGCCAGCTGCCATTAGCTTCAGACACAGATCAGTGCCTTGCCAAAGCCTTCAGCCCTTTACTTTGGCACTCACCTGCACAGCCTTCACAACTCATCTGTAGACATTGCACAGATTTCCAAATGTAAAACGATCAACCCACATTGATATCCAAGCTGTGAGATAGCAATGATGATGAATATGAATACTTTAATATGTTATCGTGCAGCGCTTTCTCCACACACCCTCTTCTAAAGCACTTCCTAAGACACTTCTCTAATGATCCAAATAACAAAAACATCTGGTCTGCTAGCTGTAACATCTGAAAACACGTTTTCATTTTATTTTCATAGTTTAAACACTGTGGGTGTAACACAGGAATACAATAAACCGTATGGTTAATTTGTTTTAAAAATCAATGTTTTTATAATGCATTGCTGTATAAAGGCCCATGTATACATAGTATAGCAGTCCTGCAGAGAATGTGACAGTCTCTAATAAGTTTGCGAACATAATGTAAACAAAGACTGTTGTTGCTCAGTGTCTGTGTACGAGCCTTTCATTTATTATGGGGGCAGGTCATTATGCAAGCAGCTGCAGGGACTTCCCTCTGTGTGAATTTTGTTAAGGGAGCAAACATTTAAAACCACCTTTATTCACTGATATGTTTCACCTATGTTCACCTGGTCAACCAATCTATTAACCAATACAGAGTAATCTGTAACTAATATACCTTTTATTAAGCAAATGACCTGGCATACGTGCATTGCAGTTAGCCCCCATTATGGCATTCCATCTACATTTCATTTTTGTTATTGCGATTCTTTGGTGATTAGCCGTGCAACAGCTGGGCCGTGTGCACTTCATTAATTGTAGCATCCTTCAAGGTCTTTCTTTGTGTTCACCGACTGTTTCTCTTTAGTTGTTAATTTCTAAGCAGACTGTGACAAAGGGAAACAGCTTCTGTAATTAAATACAATGTGAGGATAGACAAAACGGATGACTGCAGTAACGCCCAATCTTAAACCTAAACCCAAACTTTAAGAACAGCTCTTAAAAAGTAAGTTGCACAAATTGTTGGCACTTCTTTGGGGACTTTTGGCCCTTAAGAGTATAGAAAATTAAGAACCCACATTTTTATACACAAATGTGCACACACACACATTGATTTCACCTAATCCATTAAATTCCATTCCAATTTACATGGGATTAAAATATTAGAAAGGTTCAGAGTAGCTTTACTGAGATTTAGGGATGCTGACAGAATTGTCTTAACTGTGTAGCCTCTGCGCACTGCAAAGATGGAAAGTATGGAAAGTATTCAGCCTCTTTCTATAATATGCAAATTAAAATAAATATTTTTTTTGACAGCATACAAACACACAAACAGACATCATACACATATAAACAAACTGCCAGTGAAGCTGTTGCAAGAAATAACGAGGAATAGATTAGACCCCTCACATACTGTACCTGCTTGACCATTAAGCTGTCAAAGTATCTTTACATGCTTTTAAGAAACATGTACACAAACTCAATCTTACTATGTGTGTAAATAAACTGAGCATCTTTGTGTGTGCAGTATTTGTGTGTGTAGTCATATATGCACATGTTTTTACAGTATGTACATATCCATACAATCTGAATGCAAACAAGGATCTCACCTGTGAAGTTGTCACTGTGTATGCTGTGGGCTGTTAGACACAAAACATGTTCGTACTTGGACAGTCATTCCTAAGTGTCTAATAGGGCTGTGGAATTAATTGAATTATTACTAAAGTTGCAATATGACCAAGTTGCATATCAGGTCAAATGTGTACACAGCATAATAATAAATAATAATAACGATAATAAAGTGCTGTAGTACTGCAGAGATGCCCTGGCCTACACATCTTTTTACTATATCTTGCAACCCTAGTCTATAACTTTAACAGCCCTTAACTGAGGTGAGGCCCACAAAAATGTCCTCACGCTCCAAAATTGGTCCTCACAAAGAAGAAAACCAGAGCGCACACACTAACACACTGCGGCTCCTTGTTGTGTATGTGTTACTTTAGTGGTGGTGCGAGGGATCATGTCCCCTGTCTCCTGTGTAACTCTCATCGGCTTTTATAGGTCAACGCTTTCTAGGAGGAACACACATCACGCACACACATCACACCACATACTTGCCCTCCTGTCCTTCTGACTTGCTGTTTCTGTCTTTCACTGCATTGACACACTGTCCTCTTCTCACACTCCTGTCTTTGTTTCTCTCAGTTCTTTCTTTCTCTCCCTGGCTTTAGAATTTTTACATGAAAAAGGTGAAGGGAGACAGGGCTAAGCTTTTCTGTTCTGCCTGTTTTAACTTCCTACACATGTCGTTTTGGCTTACCTTACTTTAACTTAAGACTCTTACCAGAGTGACACAAACTGATTTTGTCATCCTCCTGGTATAAGAGCACCTTCATTTCGGGGAGGGGGAAGCTCTTTAAGGTTGCAAGATTTTCTTTTCCAAATTTTTGACATTTTTACTACAGCGGAGCTTGCACACCATCCTTTTTTTTGACTTGTACTGAGGTTTTTGTTTGTGCAACATTCTGACACAGATTAATAAAACATCTGAAACTGGCAGAGATTCTTGAAGACAGTTGGATGTCATCCTGTTTACTATCAATCCTCTAAACCCATTTTACAGTAAAGAGCACACACAGCGCCTTGCATGTTATGAAAAGATGCTTGTGACCCAACGGTGTCATACGCTATCTGCCACAGTTTACAGAAATGAACCACACAACTTGGGGCTATCTGGGGTCCTAGCCAGGTAGTTCACTTTTGAGCCTTGAACCGTTTTATCTGCAGACACTACAGGTCACCTTCCATGGAGTCGACATGTTGAACCGCCATGTCTCTACAGTAGCCCAGAAGGAATAAACCAAACTCTGGCACTAGATAGGGGCGTGTTTTTCGCACATTTCACGGCCACCGTATTTTCTCCTTCCCACTTGGAAGGGGAGGGTGAAGCAACAGAGTTGAAATCTGCAACTAGACTGCCAAATGTCACTAAATCCTACACACTAGACCTTTAAATTGGTGACCGCTTCAGCAGGAGTTGACGGCAAGTTGTTTAATACATACTCCGTAATACATTTTCTTTGTTGATGTCTGAAAACGTTTTTAGGTTCCTGTCTCAGACAACCACTAGCCCAGACAGATATAAATTCTCTTTAATACTCACCGCCAATGTTTTGCTCAACTCTGTGAAGTATGGGTAACACCTGCCATCTCCAAACATCCCTCTTCTGTCACTAATGCATACTTGACCTTGTACTTTGTATCTGTATGACTCCCCCTGTGTTGCTGTTGCTGTTGTTGTTTTTTATTTCTACTGCAGCAAAATCAATTGCTCCTCAGGGACAAATAAAGGTTGTGAACTTGAACTTGAACTGAACTAAAGGTCCTGATCTTAAATTTCACTACAGAGGAAGAAGATATATCCGATCACTAAGCTTAAAATTTTGTTACATGTGCTGCTAACAGCAGTTTGAAGCTAAAGATTACACTACACACATAACAAAGTCTGCAGCTTAGATTAATTTACTTTTGGATTCTGGGTCAATTTTAAAGTCATTTGGGAACTATGGTGCCATGTGTATTTTTCCCAACTGCAACGGGGGCTGCAGAGGTATTTTGAAAATGCTCCAGCTCAGATTTTCTTCTCTGACTCATTTTTGATAGCAATGAAAACCGAGGCTCATGGGTATTGTGGTATTTCATGCCATCCACCATGCAAAACTGCACAAAAAACATTATCTCACTGAAAGGTTGACATAGTTAAAACTGCATTGTTGCCATTGTTCCATTTCCCTGTGATTCCTGTGTTTCTTTGTTGAAAACATTTGTGGAACCAGAATGTCAATGCACTGTATTGTGGGGCAGCTCTGGGGATTCAGAACAAACCGAATGATGTCAGACAACTTTGTGAATCTTATTTTCATTGATTTCATTGTTAGGAAATAAAATTACATTGCAAAAACAGTGTCCTTTACTAACTCTCTCTCTCTCTTTCTCTCTTTCAGACCCCCCTTCTGTATCCATAGATGGCTACGACAACAACTGGTACGTCGGCCGTTCAGGCGCGGTGCTCCTCTGTGTGGCGAACGCCAACCCTGCGCCCACCACCGTCACCTGGACCGCGTAAGAATCACACTCCATCTGTCTGTGCAGTTGATCCGTCTCCCTCCACCTCCCTCGGAGATAGTGACAGCGTTTCTAATTGTTTCTATAATCACAACAGAAGTGTGCATAACAATCCCTCCTCTTTAATGATAATTTCTGAGTGATTTTTGATAAACACAAATGCTCTTAACATCTCATCCTGATGGACAGATGGCGTGCTGTGTTGTGTGTGTGTGTGTATGTGTGTGGGGAGGTTTTCTTGGTGAATATTGAGCAGGGAGACAGAACGGCTGTTCGCCTGTCTGTGATTTTGCTCACATTAATGCTGTCTTTGAATACTGCAGTCGCAAACTGTCTCTTGTTCTTCTTGTTTCTTTTCTTTCTTTATCTTGTCCCATCTTTCTGTTTCTTATTTTCTCATTTTCCTCTCCCCCTCTCTATCGATTTGTCTTTTTGATTTTCTTTTGCTTCATCTTATTTTATTCAATATCTCAAACGTATTGTTTGCTTGCTGCTTTTTCTTACTTTTCTCTTATCCCTCCCTCTGTTCTCTCTCTTTCTTCTGGTATCTGTTATCCTTATTTTTTCCTGCTTACCATGTTCGATTTTTTTTTCCCGTTTTCATCTCACCATATGTCCTCTTCAACACCTCCCTTTATTGCTTCTCTCCCTCCCTCTTTCTGTCTTTTCCTTTCCCTCCTGCTCCCTTCTCTCCAGGGCGTCCGGTTCTTTGCCAGACACGGTGATGGTGGACGGCAACAAGCTGATGGTAAGGAAAGTGGATGACGCCGTCAACACCACTTTCATCTGTGAGGTCAAGAACAAGTACGGGGCAAGCAGGCACCAGATAACCACCATCGTCAATGGTGAGTCAATCAAACCGCAGACAACACACACATACTGGCTGTACATGTGGAAGCGTCTACAGATGCACACGACATATAGTATAATAGAAATGCATGTGTATTCACCTGGAAATATGATGAACACACACAGGTGACAGAGCACAACATCCGATAACACAACGCGACAATCTTCTCAGACAGCATGTGATTGCTGACACGCGCACACACACACACACACACACACACACACACTGTGAGTCACACTAGTTCCTGTGCACAGATGTACGTTCATATGTACTTGACATGACATTTGCATGCACATAAAGGCCACATCCACTTGCACACATGCATGAACATAAACATAAATCTCTGTCACACTCACACACATACATACACACACACACGCTGGGATCAGGGCTGATCTGAGAGCTGCAGGGATGCTGTCCCTCTCAATCTTCACATTGGATTTTCTTCATGTTTTCGTCCTTGCTGGTTGGCTTTCAGCAAGGCGCGGCAGAGGCTTTTGATTGACCCTTTCCCCACAGCAGGGCCAAATTGCAGGACAAGGGCCAACTCGAAATGTTTATAACTTCAGATCGAAACCACTCTCTTGAAACTGGAGTCTATACGGCCGCGCCGCGACCGGAAAACTGTAGCTCTGCCGGACACAAATTAAATGTGAATTGTGGTTTATGAGTCTGAGAGCAGGCCCTCGTTGCAGCGTTTTGGCCCTGCAGTGGACACAGCGGTGTTGGGGTTGTTGGTGGGTTTCTAAAGTCTTCCAAGGGTTACAAGTTGGTGTGAGCCGGTTTGCCCAGGTTTGTTTTTCTTTTTCTTCTTCTGTTTTAACTTCCCATTATTTGCATCCACTATTTATTTTGCATAACAACTAACACCTCCTAGGCATGGGTGCTATATGTGCTCTATCTTTTTTTCTTTTAAGTTTTCTTTCCTCTTCTTCCTTTGAATCTCCCCTTCCGTCTGGTAAGAACATGACAGCTTTGTCTGCATGCAGTCTCGATCTTTCTGCTGGTTCTTGACTTTTGACGTTTGCTAGTCCGGTGATCCGGCTGCTGCTGCCACGGTGTTCGCTCGGGATTTTTTTGTCTTTTCCTCTGCCCTCTGACGCTTTCACGCATTGATCCGACACACACATACACCTGCATCCACAAGCACACACACAAACCCAGGAACATGCCTGCATGCTGAAATGCCTCACTGCACATCAGCAGGCAGGCCTCTAAACCTGTTAGGGTGTCTTTTTTTATCACTGTGTGTGTGTGTTCCCACAGTGTTGCTCTCCACATTGCCTGCTTGACTGGTCAAAATGCTTTCCTTCCTTCTTCTACGATTCCTTTTTGAGGGATTAGTTTGAATAATCACCAGGTTGAGCTTTACAACAAAAAAATAACTTTTTTTTGCCAAAAGACAGAGAGAAAGCTACATTTAGAAAAATCCGTGGGAATCGGAGCTGGAGATTTGAATTGTCTCCTCTGAGAACAAAGATCCTTTGTAGCCAGGCAGTGTGTTGGGAGGGATGTGTGGGAGGTTCAGAAGTGGCTAAGCTGCTACTGTTCTTGCTGGAAGCGTAGCATTGTGACTGACTCAAAGTATCACGGAGGGTACTCTTTCCCCTTCTAGCACACACACACACACACATAGCTTAACACACTGAAATCCTTTACAGACACATGTAAAAGTCCACACATTACTCATACACAAATGTGTACTCATAAATACACACACATACTTTGAGCACTTTTGAGGACTGGCACACACACACACAAATGCTTTATCTTTCCAAGTACCTGAGATCAAGCCCAGACTTTGTGATTCATCCTCCTCTGTGTTAAATGTGTCCTTGGTGTTAGACGGTTTGCTTGGGTTCCACCACGGTAAAATAACTAGATGGGTATAAAGTAACATAGTGACTTAATCCCTCAGTTTAACACGTTTACTTTTAGAAGGTGAGTGCCAGAACTTAAAATGAAGCTGGCGAGCTGTGGGCTGACAGTGCGCTTTGCTGAACAAAGATGGCAGCATGTTTTGTTTACCGTTTTAGCTGACAAACTCATCCAAAGTGACTTCCCATGAGTACAGACGGGAAATGTATTGCTGTATTCCTCAAGGACGCTGACTTTGGCTGTTGCTGGAATCAAAGCTGTGACCTGTATGGCAGTCTACTCAACCACCATGCCACAATTGTCATTGTAGAAATCCTTACTTTGTGTGTATGTGCTACACATCCAAATTGTATTATTTCAGCGTTGACATAATATATGATATACAAAATATCAGCTTGATAAATACTAGTTTTTGCAGACTAGATACTTCATTGACATAAAAGACACCACCAGTCAGCCTTGAACTCCAAATCTCCCCACTCTAGTCAAAAAACCTGAACCACTACACTATATGGTAAGATATTTAGGCCTTCTGGGGACAAATGCTACAAATTAATGTGCCTATTCCTACAAAAGTGAACATTTTATAAAATGCCTGAACCACTACACCTAAACCTAATGCCACAGTCCTGTCAACATCATATCAATACCTACTTCTATCACGAAAGTACATTAAATAAACTCCTTATTGCGGTGACAGCAGGTGAATCATGACCTATAATGACAGCCTCGCTCAAACTGAATTGGGCCACCAGCTCACTGCCCCAGGCCAGTCATCAGAACAACAGCCCAATGAGTATTTAGACTCTCTTTCTCTTGCATTGGCCCAAATCTGAAGGCAGCCGACCAGGAAAACTCCCAACAGTCCAGATGGCCAGTCTGCCACTGGTAATGAATCAAAAAAGGACTGCATCATTTGAGTCACCTTTCTAAAAATGATTATATACATGGCTGAACGACTCATTCAACAACATGCTAGTTACTAATTAAAGCAGTTAAACCACTGAACTAGTGATAGACCGATACGGATTTTTTAGGGCCGATGCCGATACCGATTTTTTTTCCACCAGCCTTAGCCGATACCGATACGGAC